GAAATTTTTTTTCTTTTCTTTTCAGCTATTAATACCATTGCATTGTCTTCATCGTCAATAACACAATCGTCTTCCAACATGAATCAGTAAGTAATTGTTCTTTTTTCTTGAGAAGAGAATAAGGGAGAGAGGAATATTGAGAATAGGTAGTAACAGTGAGTTTAAGTGTGGTTAGGGTGAGACTAAGCATAACGAGTGTTAGAAGGAGTGGGTGAGTGATCTCCATTGAGATTAGATCCTGTTCACCTCTCAGGCCTTCCAGATAGGTCCTAAAAACCCCGTCAGGAACCATTTAGCTGTCCGTGGCACACGACTGGGCTTATCTAGATTCATTGACATGTTTCTCGAGTGGGAGGGATGTGAATGATATGAGTCTGTGGCGTGCGTGCATGAACATTACGCTCGCCACCGCTCTACTAGGATGGCTCCTGGTCGCGCGCGCGAATAGAATGGATATTGCTGTCATCAATTCAACGTGCTTTATTTAAAAGGAAAGTAAAGAAAAAATAATCCATCGCAACGACTTTATTCCATTGAAAAACGTTGAACACGATGTCCCCAAGAATCGACGACATAGAGATTGCCATGTCGATCGAAGGACAAACCGATAGGATAATACAACTGGCCCTTTCCACCCACAATAACAATGCCCTGTTGCGCTCCTTTTGGCCAACGTATCACTCGATTATTCCCCGGGTCTGCCACATAGATGGTACTCAATGTATCGACGAATAGTCCTTGAGGAGACGACAATTGTGTCAGAGCATTCCCTTGGCCTTGACCTCCAGCGACGATAATTCCTTCTTTTGCACCTTTGTTCCATTTCATTACACGATGATTGTTGTAGTCTGACACGTAGACAGTCTGTTGTTGATCGATAAAGATGTTGGTCGGATTGTTGAGTTGATTGAGACCAGCTCCTCTGCCATTACCACCAGCCACGATAGTTCCATTCTTGTCACCTATTTTATATTGTCTTACTTCATCTTTGTCGGTATCAGAGATGTAGAGATATCTCTGATCATCCATGGCCAATCCAAAACAATCGATGTTGTTGATGAGGATTTCTCCTTGCGTTGTGCCACTACGACGAGACCATCGTACGACCCGTTGATTCCCCACATCACAAATAATGAGACTATCCGTGTCTTTAGCAATCAACACATCGCTTGGCCAATACAATTGATCCAATTGTTTTCCTTGGCCATGTCCACCAGCTACAACTTGTCCATTCTTATCATTCATCGTCCATTGGATGATGCGATGATTCCACGTGTCAGCGATGACCATCGTTTGATCATCATCAACGAAGAGGCCCCAAGGTTCGTTGAGTTGATTGGTGGCATTGCCGTTTTCATGGCCACCAGCAACATTCGTCCCATTCTGTGCCCATCGGGCACCGACTGGAATATTGGGAATTACTAAAATGAACGAAAAAGAAAATGAATCCTCGTTATCGAAGAGATCTCCCTCTCTCTTGTGGAGGAAAGAGTTATGAAGGAGACATTTGTCTTCGAAATAAATTTGGTAAAACTTTCGAGAATGTTCTCTTCCTAGTTTGCTGTTAGAAAAAAAAGGATTTCGTGACGATTCTTACATCTATGTTACTTCTAGTTTTTGCGAAGATCTTTTTGACTCTAAAAACTACACTTGGAGATTTACTGTAAGGATGTACTTCGAGAAAGGACAATGCTTTTGGAGTGAAAGCTTTCGAGAGAAAAATATAAGGATCTTGAGATGTTATTTGAAATTGCGAGAATTCAGAAACTTATGCAAGAAAATAATGAACTATGTGAAACTCCTAAACTGAAAAAATCCTGAGAAGATTCAAGTACATCTTCGGAATGTGCTACCTTCTACAATTGAGATACTGAGTAGATCGATGCTGATCCTATCGGGTGTATGCATAGAAAATAATTGAGATATGTGGATTTTATGTGTAATTTAGAAAGAGTGATTCTTAATGGAATAGCCAGAAAGAATTCTACGGAATTATTATTAAGTTATCGCGAAAATCAGCTTCAGACTATTACATTAGGATGCAACGAAGAGTCGCAAGCGTTTTTAAAGATCGAATAATTTAATCATATGAATTGTAGCTACTTCCTATACAGATTTTTTTACTAACTTTTTTTTCCTGTATATGAACGAATATTTCGTTCTTAAAAAAAAACAGATTGCTAAGTGGTTCTTGAATACTTCGGTGGATTGCACATATATTTAACATATATTCTATTCAATTCGATTTGATGCGACCTTTTTTTCAAATATCGAATGAAATTATTCGCTTATTCGATTCAGTTTCAATTTCTGTTAGAAATTCACACTTAGGATTTATAAATATTATTACAATAAAAAGGCTGAAATATCTTCATTTCGATTCGCTCGAATGAGCTGTTTTTTTGGTTTGTCGTAGAAGCTTATTTAAAGGTTTCGTTTTTTTTTGTTTTTTGATACGGATAGCGGAAAAAATATTACTGTTCAGTTATACTTTTTGGTATGATAGAAAAAGAAAAAATGGAAAAATATCGAAAGGTGAAATGCAGAAAAAGAAATAATCGAGAGAAAAATATCAAACGAAAAATGTCGAAAAGGAAAAATCTCGAATTTAAAGAAAAAAAAACAATCATAATATCGATAGAACATTTATTAAGTAAAGAAAATGAACTGAAGAATTCATAACCTAGATCTAGACAAAATGTCATCAAATATAGGAGTGACAATGATTCATTTTTTTATAAGCAAGATTTTTGGTAATAATTTAAATGACCTATTGATAAGTTCATTAGCATCAATATCACTATTTTCATAAAGTGAATATATAATATCAAATCAACTGTCTCATTCAAGCGATCTCTTATTCCTAATATCTTTCTCATCCTATTTTTTACATTAGATGTTTTTCGTTCGATATTTTTTCCATCTATTCTATTCTGATGCAGATAGAACAAATTTTCAACACGAATAGTAGTCAGTGTAAATGCCTGAATATTCCTGTCTCATAAGTAAAATGTATTGTTACCTTGGAAAAAAACTAATGTTTCGTGTTTTGAAAATTCGAAATTTTGTAAGCATTGGCTTTTAAACTAACTAACCAGTTCTAAAAATTTGCTCTGTTCACAGCAATATAGTATCATTCATAAAGTTCAGTTTAATTTTTTTTGTCTTTTTATTCTATTAGATAACAACTGAAAATTATCTATGAAACGCTACAGATCTATTTTTCTCACTGGAAAACAGGTGAAATTGTTTTCATGATACCAACAATAATAATTGATAGTCGTGTTTGCTTACTTTATCTGTACGAAAAAAGTATCTGAATAAACTTTTACCACTAAGTAAGAAAAAAAATAGCCTATTTGATTGAACTGACACAGAGAGTATTTGATTTTTTTATCGTACTGCTATTTATAGTCCACCCTATATATATATCAAATTAAAAAAGCTGAAAAGAATTTGAAATTTCATATAGTGTCCTATGTCAACAAAATTCAAATATAAGACGTAATTTTTTCCAAGATGGTAACAAGATTGATATTTAATAAAAATTCATCTAAATTGTATTTCAAGTGATGTAGATCTATGGAATATGTTATTGTTCTCTTTACAAATGCATTCCATTAAAAAAACCAAATGTTTACTAACACGTAAAAATATACAATAAAAATTATTCTACTTTGATGAGATTCATCGAACTATTGCGCGCTCTGTATATATATAATGATAACGTCTAAACTATGATCAAAAATCCACTATACTCTCAGTTGACATCATTATAATAGAAAATACATTATGAGAAAACATGCAAAAATCTTTTTATCGATTTTATTTTCGAGTCTTTTTTTTCTTACGATGAGAGATTCATTGTGATTCATCCTTATCCTTTGGATGTTTTTATGAAGTCTAAAAAACCTACCCTCTCAATATTTTAGATATCAGTTGAGTACAATAAATTTTCAACGATAACTTATGATATGATATTTAAACATATGTTGTTGTATGTTTATTCTACTTGATATAGTTGACAAATACAAGAACAACATCAAAATGGCTTCGGAACTTATGAAATATAGGTATTCGCTTCTTTCTTATCTTTGTTGACGTGAATAGAAAAACCTATTTTGCTCTAGACAATAAATAGAAAGATAAAACATCTACGATCTGCATTAATTCTTGATTGACAATAAGTTGCTGAAGAAAAAACTAGTCATCATCACGTACTACGAACGAAAGAGAAAAAAAATGATACTATTCATACAAAGAAAAGAACCGATGATGAAATCAACAATTCATCGAAAACGAATTAAAATATTAATAGAAATAATATAGAGATAAACAAAATAGAACTGAAGAAAAACATTTACATTTAAACATGTAAATAAACGATGTGGCTATTAAAATAAACTTTTTGCAAACTTTAAATAGTCAATATACTAAATAATTCTAAAGAGACAAGGATTTATCACAACTTAAAGTACAATATCACTTGAGATCGAACAAAAACGAAACTCATAGAAAAAAGAGTTTAGAATTTCAATATATTCATTCATTGTGTGAAAAAAAAGTTAGCAAACCATATGATTGTTTCAACTTTAATGCATAATTTATTTATTTGTCTATCTCTGAGCTAAATCAGCAGATGTAGAAAGAGAACCACATAGATTTCTTCCATCATCATTACGATAAACAAAAAGATGTCTTAACATTAGCAGATGAAGAAAAAACATACTCTTATATAATTCAATCAATTCTATTCAGTGAGCATTCTTTATTCATTTGCAAGATGATAAAAAAAAAAACCAAACGTAGTTAATTTTCTATTTTATCAGTGTTAGATTTGTTCTTTTTTTCTTTTGTTCTAACAATGTTAAATCTTCAGAATTTAAAATACTTATCCATATCGAAATGAAAACAGCAATAATTTTCGATAGTTCTAAGAAAATTTGATCATCAAATAAATCGGTAATAGATTCTTAACATGATAAGAATAAAAGAACGTACAAGTATTGGAAATATGAAAGGAAAAAAATACAGTGATAACTATGCTGCATTGCAAATAGGTCAAAGATCATATTTTGAATTTTGAGAAAAATAATTAATAAACAAAAGTAGAGAAATAGATAATACAAACAGGCATCAACTTGTACATATACAAACAGAAAAAAATTGTCGCACGTCTTTACGAATATCCTTTTTTTTTTAATGATTGTTAAAAAATTGATTTGTCATTTTAATAAAAAAAATCAGAGTAGTCTTTAAATGATAATTTTCATATCAGATGTGCTCATGTAAATACAAGTAATCGGAATAAAGATTCTGCGTCTAAACATGTACACTTGTTTTAAAAAGAACGAGAAAATGCGAGTCAAAATATGTTTTCTTAACGAATATTTTCGTGTTAATATGTGTTTTAGCCTTTCAACATAGTAATAATCGTGAAATTTATGCTGACAACAAATAAAAAACACTTAATTTAACGTGTTAGAAAAATCGTTAGAGTGCTGTTTTTAAATATCCAAGTACCCTGGTTGATTTATATATAGTACATGATATACATGAAATGCATATGACAATAAAAAAATTTTCTGAGCTTATTCTGAAGGTTCTTTTAAAGGATTAACTAATCAGTTTTTGACTAATCTTAAATCATTCGACAGTGAATTATTTACTCTTTATCGGAAACTAAAAAGAAGCTCTTTGCAATCTTGGTAGCTAAAACTATGAATAAAATGCTTCAAAAAAAGTTTCTGGCAGAATTGAAACACTGAACTTTAAGATTGTCTGAATTCAGATAGGAAAGAAACCGAGGAGATCTTTAGCATGTATTGCATTTTCATAGCATCTGAAGTCAAATGTTTTATTAATATTGAAATAAAGCATCTTTGTTTGAAAGGTAACATATATATAGTAGTGTCAAGCAAAGAGAAAGAATGGATTTCGTTTTGTAGATATCAACAAAACGAAGTAAAACTCAATAGTGACGAAAAATAATCAACATGAGGATTACTATTAATTGATTTTTTCTTATGATAAAGATTTAATCACTCATTATATTAGATTGTTGATCTTATCAATGTTACCTTTAAGTAGCTGCAGAATAATATTGCATACAAAGGAACTATATATACTTAAGTAAAATTTAGCATTTGTCAAGATCAACAAGCGTTAATTTAATGCTTACCTAGCTGCTGAATAGTTTTTGTAGTTGTAGTTGAAATTGCAGCGGTAGTTATGGTTGTAGTTGGAATTGTAGTTGTAGTGTTCATCACTATTCATTATCATAGAAAATTTGTATAAACAAATCAAATAGTATTAGATCTCAGATAGAATGTAATATAGAATTCAGTGCACTTAAATTTTAGGTGAAACTTAAGCAGTGTTTCAAAGTAGAGCATCGATCTCAAATGATCTGAAAAAGGATTTTTTTTCTTTCAAAACTGATTTTTGATGGAAAACCTCTGTATTTATCGAAGACAGAAAACCGAGTAAAATTTTCGACAATTCTATTCAATTTGATTTGACTGAATCAAATGGAATCGAATCGCATTGAATTGAACCAAATCCATCGAAATTGTTCTGCTCAAATTCATCGCTTCTGTTATATTTTAAATACGAGTAAAACATTTAAATGTACTGACTGCCATTGCAGTACAAGATCGTTATTCAAAGTATGAAGTTTGTGATTTCAACCTCTGCCTTCATATCAGTAGTGTGAGTGAGATGGCTTTACAGAGACACTCGAAAGAACCGAGGAATACTGTACAGACAAATTGTTACAAGCCCTCTGTCTCGTCTCTCTTGTCGTCAGACAGTTTGCATATTGGCATTCTTCTTTTAAGAAAGAAATCTTAAATGTTTGATACAAGCAGGCATAGCCTCTAAAATAATTAGCCGTACTAAAAGCATTCCGCCAATATGCATTCTGTACATATTAGTATTGTTCTGAAGTGGCTGAGCCAACGGTGCTACAAGCTATGAAATAGAATTTATATACACAGTTGAATTATTGATATTCGTTCAATTCAATGACTAAAGTACTCTTGGGCTCTAGCGATTACTCTGTCACAACTAAATGATCAGTCTTTAATTTTGCAAGAGTAGTCTTTAGAAATATGACAGAGAGAATCATAAATGCGTTTTCTTTCGAGCTAGATGCTAATCGCAGTTGTTTTCAAAAAAAAGGCTGCCGAGTGAACTCAATGTTCACTAGACTCACGAGGGCGCATTCCCAACTGATTCACACTGTTCGAGTTCACATTATGTTGTTGGCTATGGTTGATTATATATATAAAATATCTACAAGAATTAGTGCCATCGCTGTTCGGTTTCAGAGTTATGAGCGGAACAAATGTTATGATAGATGATGTCATCATCTATGCGTTATTCTTTATTCTTTTCAGATCTTAATTAGGCATACTTTTTACGCTTGAGTTAAATGAGATGAGCTAATAGTAAAGGGCCCAACCAAAAAGAGTAAGTTCTAGTTAAGATATGAAGAGAACAAAAAGAAATAGTGCATAGATAGTGACATCATCTATCAATGTATTTGTTTTGCTCTTGACTCTGAAACCAAACAGCATTGGCACGAATCCTTTTAGGTATTTTATCTATATAATCAACCATAGCCAACAACAAAATGTGAGCTCGAACGGTGTGAATCAATTGGAAATGTCTCCTCGTCAGTCGAGTCTACAAAGAAAACTATAAATAAAGAGAAATGTGGCACAATAGAATTGAAGTATTGTTATGGAGATCCTAACATATGACACGTTCTAAAGAATCGAATCGAGTGATCAATTGTTCAATTTGTTTCGATCTCTAATGTATATTCAAAAATTCACTGCATCTTCACGCATTACTAAATATAACTGGAACAGAGTCTATATTTTAAATTAATAAATATAGTTCATGAGAAGTGATGAAATCTTTTTTTTCGATGATTACAATTCGTTTTGTCTCTGTCATGCTTTATCTACTTTTTCAAATGTTCTTCGAGTCTTCCTCACTGCTCCTACATCAACATGAACTGGATATATGAGAATGTGTGAACGATGAAGAAACAACCTTAAAAAGGATTCGGCTTTCACTTGAGTCCGCAGATCACTGTTTGTTCTCTTACCTGCTATCGGTGGACAGAGTTGTTCATTGAAACTGGGCACCAGATAACAAACAGGAAGATTATGACATAGAGGATGATGAATACATCTATGGTTAGGTTCATCACAAAGATTGTCTGGGCTTTTACATGCAACTAGCTTAGAACAATCTGTGAATATAGCGGTACAAATGCCAGTGTCAATAGCACCTGCTATATAGAAACAGGCACATGCACTATTTAACGAACATTGACTATACTGAGTAATTCCACGGCAGAATTGAGATTTCACTCGAACTAGTGACACACTAAATTAATAGAAGGACATGTAAAAAGAAAAGAATCAAACCTGTAAAGCTTAAAAGGAAGATTGTTCAACATTAGATGAATAGGAAAAAAGTAGATTTTAGAATTACCTGAATAGAATGAATACGAAACAACGAATCATTGCTGAAACCATCGCTTGCTTTGATATGAGATAGAATAGCAGCGGCACCCGTCTTTATATATAATGAACAGACAATGTTTTTCGCATTCGCCGAGAGTGAAGAAGTGCAATATGTGATCTTTCGATAAATAGAAATTTGATATTGCTCCACTGCTTTCTTAAGCACTTAATTGCCCTCTGAAAAAGTAATCTTTATAGAAGAAAAAAAACGTCGTAAAAGCGATATAGGATTGCTTCTGCAATATAACCATTTAATAGGCTCGTGCCATCATTCGAAATATGAATATTGTTATTGTCAGTCATCAACTTACATGTAATGACGACTTAGAATAATTTCAAGGACAAATTTTGCTTTTAATATTTCTACTTTTATTATAGGCAGCTTACGAAAGTTTGCACCTGCATCAAATCAAAGTCACAATTTATAGGTAGCCACATGCATTTGTACTTTGGACTTTGTCGTCGCTGACGGTTTGGATGCGTGTGCGGACGTGGGATATGGGTGTGGGCATCGGTTATGGATGTCAGTGTGAGTGTGGCTGAACGTACCACTAACAATCACATCCACATCCCATACCCTACACCCACATCCACACCCACACCCACACCCCAGTTTGAGAATTAGGCATATGAACACGGCGATAAAATGAACTGTCAACTATAATTTCTTTCATAGTTCCAAATATTTGAATAGGAATTGATAATAAACATAGAATAAATAGCAGATTCATAATTATGTTATTTTTTCTCTTCGTTACATAAATATATAAACAAGTACCCACATATATATCTTGTTATGATAATATGACATGCAACAATGCCTCTCTTGTCCTCAATTCTTTTCTTTTGAGATCAAATTAATCATCATTCATAGTTTTAGTTACAAAACAAAATACATGTATAAGACAAAAAGGAGAAATTTAGCTTTCAAAATTTTTGTTGTCATTCTATTTTTGTTAACAGAGTTGTTGAATTTTCGAAGCTAATTCATGTTTTCCTTCTTCTATTTATTGCATATATAGCTTTTTACTATAACTATCAGATTGACAAATTATTTGTTGACAGTGTACCATGATGAGCTGGATCAGTTATAATACATGAATCAATATGAGTATTTATATTATATACACCTGTACCTTACGATCACATGAAGCTTCGGATGACATGTTTAGTAACTATAGAAAAAATCTACAAATAATACTAGTTCTAACGGTAAATTACTTTTTAGATTTTCTTTTATGTGAAAATGACAGACAGACTTCGTTGAGATCACTATTATTACTATGAATCCGCATCTGGGTCAATTGATTTTTTATCTTCTATAACCATCCAGCCATTCAGTAGTTTTTATCTTGAAATGAAAGAGAGTAAAAATGCATTTCTATATATTATGATTTTCTTTGTATGACACTGATATTCAATAGATAAAAGATGAATATTTGAAAAAGCAGTTCTTTTAATTTTAATAACCTTGAACACAATCATTAGAATCAAGTCGAAACATAGATAAATAAATATAAATTTGAAATAAATTAAATCATAATTCATTTGTTAATTCTTCTGAGTTACTTGATAATTTTGTTTAAGTATCTTTTTATACAAAAATATTTTTGCGAAAAATCATGAGAACAAATTTACTTGAGTAAGATCGATTAATTTTTGCATATTAATTTGTTCAATAAAATCTTTTTTACTTGTATTGTTTTATTTACATAAAATAACTAAAGAATAAAATTAAATAAAAAAAACTTGTTTTTTCTTTATTCTACCTTCATAAGATCAGAAAAAGTCATAACTAATCGACGAAGATATGAACTTGAAATTATTATTTGAATAGTTAATGAATTTGCAAGATCCTCATCATTATTAATTTTCATTTCTTGTTCTTCACATTCAACATTAACCATTTCCATTTGACAATCGTCGTCGAATACTCATATTTAACTCTCAAATAAACAATATATGTTCTTCATTATTTATTATATATCTAAATGGTACAAATAAATTAATTTCGTCTGATTTTATTCTTATTTTAATACATTTAGTATTTCAAAAGATTAAATTAAATCAATCATTTTTCTGTGGAGTTTAAAATTAACTAGAAAATGCGCTTAGAAACTTGTTCCATGACAATCATATGACATATTTAAGTATGAATTGTGTGTGTTGAATCTTATTTCATCCAATATTTTCACAATGCTTGAGTCTTAATCAAGTCTTTAATAGAAATCATCATACATGTTTAATGAGTAAAGTAAAATTCAGCGAAATAGTTTGTATTTAATTTGATCAAAAAACAAAGTTCGAAATATACCGAATTAACATTTAATACAAAGAAGGATAAATAGTCGACGTTTAAATTTGTGAGAAGTGAAACGTTTTTATAAGATCATTTTATAAGACGAAATATATTTATAATAATATAGAGAGTAACATGCATGATAAATAAAAACATCAATTGGTATTCAGTGGTAGCTCCTCAGCAGCTTTGACAGCCACAATCGTTGGGTATTCTCCTTCTTTACTGTTTGGTTGTTGTAAATCATGTAGAGATTGTACTTCTGGTTGATCGATTTCATTTTTCTCAACCAGTTTTTCACATACTTCTGGAGAGGATCGAACGGTTAGATATATTATAGTAGGAAGATTCATATTTGATGACTAAAGAAAATAAACGGCATTTTTAATAATAAATATAAATGACTTTTGTGTAACAACAAACATTTTCTTCTGTTATCCTTACATTCTCTTCATTTAACTGGCGAATAGCAGATACTTGTGTCAGATGTGTATGCATATAATTCATTTGTTGTTCAATACGTTCACAACGTCGTTTATTCCTATCATTTTTATAAAGTTTCCAAAAAGCTCCACATCCACAAGACAACAGCAAAAAAATGATTCCTAGAAAAACTTTTACAGGATTCGATGATGAGTCATCAGAAGAACTTGAAGAAGAATAACCATAAGAACCTATATTCCAAATGAATAAACTTTTTTTTTTTTTTATTATTCAAATCTGTTCATACCTGTTCTAGATCTTCCACCTCCTCTTCGACCCTTTCCATCACAATTCAAAATGAGAAACACCAAGAAAATTATTCTAAATATCATTACTGTAAATCTCATTGTAATATTACATCGATCTATCCTGGTTACTGTCTGAAAAGAATGAACATAGTACTACCAATGACGAAAAAAAATTATTGATTTATGGCTTTAAATATTATTAATACGCCACACTTGTTACTAATACAACTCATTCTACACTATGATTTATTATTACATCCATGTTCTTCAACAGCAGGTTACCAAAACGTATTTGTTTAATAAATTATCTGGCAGAAACAGCTTTCAAGAGACCAAAGCTGTAAATGAAACGTCTGCAACAAAAAGAATAAGGAAATAGTATTGACAATAAAGATAGAGAAAGAACGAAATATAGGTTGAGTTTTTGCTCGTCTTGAAAATCATCATTTTTATTTTTAACGCGTTCTAAAAATAAACCAGGGTTGTCACCTCTTCTGCTTTTTGAAGTTTTTTCTGCTTTTTTTTCTGTCCTTTCTGCTTTTTCTATTTTTTTTGCTCTTTTGTTTTTTCTGCTCTTTTATTTTTTTCTGCTTTTTTAAAAATGTCTTTCTTTCTATCATTTATATCGACGCTCTTAGATTCTGCTAATGATTTCATTAAAAATGTGAGAACTATTGCTATCAACATTTGCTACGGGTTTGCTCTCACTCAGATGCTTTGTTTTTGAAACCAGACCTGTGTTCTGCTTTTTACAAAAAAGTGCCAATCTTAATCTTGTGTTTCGTCTGGTCTATTTTTCTCTTACCTTTTCCTTTATTTCTACAGCTAGAATTACGACTGTCAAGAAGATGTGTCATATGTCAATTTGTGGCGTTGAAATAATGGAATTAAGCCTTGACTACATTTTTTCCTCGATTAATCAACTCACTAAATTAGTTTACTAGAAGTGATTCAACGAGTCTAACAATAACTGAGATATTCAAAATGACTAAATCTCAATTTCCAACATCAGATTGTGTAATAGTCTTTTTATTCACAGAGAAGACTAAGGATTAATAGTGCTATTCAGGATGTTAAGGTTTCTACTATATAAGGAGAAGTCATATTTCATCTTCATATCAGTTTATGATCCTGTTTAAGATTCCTAACACGCGAGTAGATGCGCTGAAAAGACGACAAATACCTACCACCTCGTGCCGAAATATAATTTAATCTTATCCACAAGAAACAAATTTTAATCGATTCTGTTTTTAAAATATTCGCATCCAACTTAAAATTGTCTTCGTTTAAAAATTGATGAACTTTTTTACATGTCCAGAATTCACTGAATTGAAATCTACTAATAACATAATCAATAATGAGGTGCTTCTAAACAAACCATACGTGTGAGAGGTTTTGATTCGTATGATCGCTGATCATTACGTAGAAAAGATGCGAATTCTCTCTTTCGCAGACCAGAATAAACTTTAATGTTACAATCTAGAATCAGAACTTCAGATCTAGTTATGAAAAGTATTTTGAATATTTGGAACAGTTTTTATAGTTGATTAACTCTATTTTCAACCATAGTGTCATGGATCACTCGATAGACGAAAAAGTTCATATAAACTGGTGTTAAATTATATGAATGCGGCGAATACCGAGGGTGGGTGTGGGGTGTGGGTGTGTGGGTGTGGGTGTGTTTTATCAGGCCTCGCAGCCGTACTACTTTCCTGATTTTTTAAAAACGTCCTGTTTTTCCTGTTTTTGACCGAAAATCCTGATTTTTTCCTGATTTTTCATGATCCATCCCAATAGGGGCTATATCCACTTGATCATGACATGTTGTATTTTTATTTTAATTAGTTTATTTTCAAAATGCACATAAAAAAAACATTGTAGAAAATCTTCAACAAAAATAAAATAATATACAGTCGAGGACAATTGAAATTATACCTTTTGATTTTTTTGTTTTTTGTGACTATACGTTTTTATCTATTAACTTACTATATATAGGAAGAAAGCCCAGAACTTGCTGTATCTTTTGATATATTCACTTTGAACATTAAATGCAGTTTAAAATGTAAAAACTATATTAGAAAAAAATATTCTTTTTCTTCCAATACACTTTTTACATTTTAAACTGCATTTGATGTTCAACGTAAATATACCAAAAGATATAGCAAGTTGGCTGTGTGGGTGTGGGTGGGTGTGGGTGTGGGTGCGTTGTGGATGTCACTCATCTCTCAATCCGTACGCACACGCACACCCGCATTCACACCCTAAAAGTTTATGATGTTATATATAGATTCTGCTGTTACTTGTTCATATTTGTCAAGGGAATTTATATAATTTCTGGTTATCTTTTCGATTGTACCATCAAGTTTTGGTATATAGGGTGATAATGGTCGTATAGTGATCGAAAATTTCCATTTGGCGATCTTTTTTGTTTCATATTATATACTAAATAAAACTTCTTGCTACTTTTAAAATTTTCTTGTATTGTTACGATCCAAAAAAGCTCATATCTCTAAAATTTTTCTTGCTCTAAACAAAATGTTTTTATTTGTATTTGACACTAAGACAACACACCTAACAAAGACGAAAAATTTTTTTTGGAAGTTTGTTCCTACAAACAGTTATCGCCAAAGCATTATAGTAACGCACTCATCGATTTTTTCGAACTTCCTAAAAACGCTGATTTTTTTTGTAGCTTTAACAACAATAAAAGGTAATCCATTCGTGTCAAACATTAGTTCAATCATCGATGATACTACTATGATTTTCATTTTTTTAAATGATAAAGTAGTGTTTGAAATATGATAAGAGATAATAAGACCTTTTTTTCGTCATATTTGCACAAAAAATACTTGATCTTGGCTAATGATTACCATTTACTCTCTTCTTTATTCAAACCAAATGACATCTATCGATAGGGAATATACAACAACTTCTAAACAATTTTTGAATGAAGAAGATCAATCACATCATGTTCGAGAAATCTTCAACTCAACATTGGCCAAGATTGGTCCTTTTTTAGATGTACAGACTGTTTAGTTCTTGCACTTTTTTTATCACTCTCCGGATCTTGATGTTAATGAGCTAACGTTGTGTATGATATGAGTCACCATGATGCAAGAAAAAACAAGCCAGAAAAAAGAGAAATGATTTACATGCTTATTGAAAATGCGCACTGTGAAAGGATGAAATATGCATGTGACCATGTGAAAAAGAGAAGAATGATCAACCTGGTAACATTATTTTTTTCATTATACTTGAATAAATAAGCAAATACGATCATTTTGATGTTTACAGGTAAGTATCATAATACCACCAAAAAAATGTGACTACCGCTTACAATACATACGAAAAAAGTAATGTGTAGTTGTACAGGCAAGTATTATGTAGTCTATCGATCGTATAAGATCAAAAGTTATTGTTATCTATCTTAGAAAGTGATGGACTCGTATGGCGATCCTTATCGTCGAACAACGACAAATTTCCATCTGATGCTATTCTTATTGATGGCAGTGAAGACGATTCATTACGGATGAAACAAATGTATATTGGTGCTGTTAATTTGCAACAAGGCAGTTGCCATGGTCCTGTGGGCGACGTAGCAGTGGGCTATGTAAAACGTCGTCGTATAGGTAATACAGAAAAGTTCACAACGATTGTTTCCTATGCTTACGGTACTAAAGCAATCAAAGCCGATGCCAACGACTGTATGCTAAGAATCTTAACGAATCCAACTGGTTTAAAACTACTTTGGCAACCTGGTAAAGAAGGGCAGGTGCCAAAAAATGCCGTTGGGTATTCATATCTCGATGATGAAACTTCACGTGTAGTTCATATTGCACGTACAACCGATAGTAAAATTATTGGTAAAATGCATCCACATCAACGATGTTTATATTTTCCAAATTTTGAAAAAAATATCGAAGAAAAAAGAAGTGAATACGAAATATTATGTGTTGCTGATGAATAATCGTAGACACTGCCTTCATCTAAAATCGACTTTTAAACATGCTAACATTCACATTAAAACATTTATTCTCCTTTTATTTTATTCGAAGCAACTAACCCTATTGTCGCATTTTCAAAACTTTTTGTGACTATTCGTATCTCAATATATTCTTAGACTGGAACGGGTATAGAAAATATTGATTTAAGTATTAAGATGAAACTAACACAGCTAAGAATTGTCAAAAACCGACACCAAAGCCTTGGATCACATGAAGCTTCTCTGAATATCGAAGTTACCAACTCACAAAACAAAAGGGTGGTATTTCGATGAAAAGGTCACTGTGACACCGAATTATGTAATCAAATAATTTCAGGTTGAGAGTGAGTCTTAAAGATTGAGAATATTACAACTAGTATACATTTTTGGAAATAAGGCGGTCCGAGTGAATGCCTATAACTTTTGAAGAAAACATCATAGAAACCTGCGGCTTTCATCGTTCGGTAGAGCATAGCAGATCAATATAGTAGTACCAGATATGACATCTACACACAAAAGGAAGTCCCCCATTTTCCATAGGCTATTCCCCCCCGCTAGTTTTTTTTTCTTTTAAATATTTTTTAATTGGGA